ACCCAACCGCCCCCCCTGCCGGGCTTTTAAACCCCCCCGGGGATGGGGACTCGACCCCTTCCCTGGGCAGCCCCTTCCAGGGCCTGACAGCCCTTGTGGGGAAGGAATTTTTCCCAATGTCCAACCTAAACCTGCCCTGGCACAACTTGAGGCCATTTCCTCTTGTCCTGTATCTGCCTGCTACTGCTCGCAGCCATTTGCAGAGTCAAATCTTGCAGTGCAGAAAAACCCACTGAGCCCCTTCTGCTGTTCAGCCTCCTCTCCAGCTGCAGCTCTGCTCAGGCTCTTGCTCCTGCTTGCTCAGCCCTGGCTTCAGCGCTCCCTCCACCAAATCCTGCTCCTGTACTGAGGTCTTCCTGACCTTAAGTGCAGCTCTGGCTGCTGCCCTGCTGTTACGGCAGTGTATCCACCACGGGGTTCAATCCCTGCGTTCAGCCTGCCTGGGCTAATGCACCTGATTCCTCGCTCTGCCGCGGGCTCCAGCATGCTCGATGACAGGATGTCTGCTAAGCAGTCACTGGGATGCAGAGCCATGAGCAGCTCAGGTATCTACTCATGGAAAACTGCTGCTAGGTAAAGTCCTCACCCTGACCAAAGTAGGGCAGCAGCTTTCCAAAAGCAAAGTCATGTCAGTTTTAGATGAGACTCAGAGGGCCACCAGTGCAGAATTATGTCAGAGCAGAGAAAAGGGCTAGCGAGGAAAACTGCGCTGCCAGAGCTCATGCTCCAGGAGTGAGGAGATGTAGGGGTGAAATCAGAGCCACACGCGGGGCCTCCTCCAACAAGCAGGCCTGCAAAACCAGACTTGCAACCTAACCTTCCACTCCTTGCTCTCATAGCGACCTCTTCCATCCCGCATGCATCTATTCCTTCCTCAGACCTTACCCTGATCTACATATCACTCGCATAGGGAAGAAGAAACAGGAACAAGTGGAGGGAAAGAACACAAAAGCAAGCAATGTAAACAGCGGTGACAGTCCGTGAGGAGAGGACAGGAGGTGGCCACAGACCAGCCCACCTTGCATGCAGCTGCAGCCATGTGGCTGGCTTTGGTAGCCTAGCACAGGAGCAGAGTGGGCAAGGGGAAGCGACAGGCATGCTCACAATTGCTTACTGACCCAAATTATCCCCAGGGCTGAAACGTAAGTGCCTGCTGGAAAATCTTTTCCAGTCCCTCCAGAGAGATGTTAGGACATACCACTCCTCCGGTTTGGGGTACACAGTGTGCCTCAGCGCATTGTCCGGGTCGTACTCAAAGGCTACGCCTGCTGTGGGGTTCCACTTGGCATGCTCCTTGCCAAAACCCTTCTTGGCATAGGCTCGCAGTCTCAGCTCCTGGCCCTTCCGCAGCTTCACAATAAGGATGTCTGTGGAAAAGCAGGTGCCCGTTTGAGAAGGCTGCAGGGTAGAACTGAGCATGCAGATCACACATGCAAAGGCAGGAATTTTTAGTGCCCAGGAAGATGTCACAGAAGCTCGGGCTCACTTGGATCTGTGTCCCCAGAGAAACTGGGAAACTTCTTGCTAAGCAAAAAAAAGCGTGGCGCATGTGCCCCAAGGCACAGCTCAGGCCCCCAGGCAACAGCAGACAGCATAGCATTTTGCATCTTTGCTGTCTCTAAGCTCTCACAAGGAGAGAGAAGCACTCTCCAAGACAGGACTTCAGCTCTCGGGATGAACTTTAAGTGGCACTAAGACAAAATGCTAACCCTGCTGATGCAGTGATGCCAGTGACTCTCAACTGCCAGCTTTACAGCTGCCTCATGGTCACACAGCTAGGAAAGGAAGAATGAGTTCAAAGAGCCCAAAGGAAAAATTCATTTCCTCCTCCAGCTCTTATTCCCAGAGAACTGCTGCTTACCATCCTGCTCCACATAGTCATTGGGGTCGTTGTCTCTGCTCCGAGACGTTACCTGCAGAAGAAAAGCAAGTGAATGAATGGCAAGATTGACATTTTTCCCCACATCAAATAGCAGTTGCCTGCAAAAATTAAGAGACTGCAGAGAGCCGCTCTAGAGTGACTTACAGCATCAAATCCAGCCCACCCTATGTAACAGAAACGGGGGCAGCTCAGGCAGCCGCAGCTAGGTGCGCAACGTATCCCTGCACCAGCCTGCTCGCCCCGAGCTGCTCTCCCCCACAGGACAGAGACTCCAGTCCAGTCCAGCCCAGCCCACGGTCGCCGCGTGGTTCTGTGACACAGCCCAAAGTCACTCCCATGACTGCTGGCAGAGGACACACAGCACTTGCAGCACCTCAGCCGAAGCAAGCAAGAAACAGCGGGCTAACAGCTAGGCTTCAACCAGGCAGACACTGTCACCAGCCCCCAGAAGCAGCCCTCAGGTCATGGTGACATCCAGATGCAGCCTCAATAGCATTTTAAAACATTGTCCATTAAGTCCCTTTGCATCTGTTCTGCTTTGGCTCTGCCAACCCTCCCCAAGGCAAGTGGGCAAGAGCCATTTGGCAGCAGGGCCCTGGCCCAGGCTCCTCGCACCTTGCCCTGCTGAGAGCCAAGAACCAGAAAACCAGAGGCCTCTGGGTTGCTGCCAAGCCTTCGACTTGCCCAAGACCTGGTGGCAACCAGGCAGGGGAAGGCGAGTGACACGGCAGCAGGACACAGGCACACACACTCCGAGTGCTGGAGGCAAGATGGAGGGGCTACACTACAGCCCCCCAAGAGCCTGAGATGATGGACACCAAACGAGGCTTTAACAAGGCCATGTTCCTTTGACATGGCAACAGACAGAATGCGAAGAAGAGGAGGGCACTAGCACACAATGCTCTTTCTGCAGATATTCCTGCTTCGTTCTCTCCCTACGTTTTACACAGGGCTGTAGGCACCGTGAAATGTGCTCAAAGGCCTTGTTTTGTCCACGTCCCACGTGTTTGCCACCCCTGCCTCAACAGGAACACAGAGAGGGGACTCGCTGACAAGCAGAGGGATCACACTGACCGGTATCACCCGGGGGTTGTTGGAGATGAGATCGCGGGATGTGACGTGACGAGTCTGGTCTTCGTTGCACCGGACATCAAGGGTGAACTCCACAGAGCACTCGGGACAGAACTCATCACACGTGCAGTCCTGGGACAGACACGGGTCAAGACCTTTATGTCAAACCTCTCCCAGCAAGAAATCAGTAGTGCTCCCCACCAGACAGAACCCACCATGATCAAAAGAAGCACCCCCACAATATTTTTCTTGACTCACTCTGGAATATTGCATCTTATCCACAATGTCATCGCTGGTGAGTGGGATGAGACCTGTGGGAAGAAGAAAATCAGGGGAATATCTAAGCAAGACCATGGGGGCACTGACCCTCCTGCGGAGGCAAGGAGAGGGACAGCAGCCTCTCGACACTGGTGCTTCAGTGTCTCCAGACTGATTTCACCCACGACCTCTGCCTTGCTACACGTCTTCGTATTCGTCTTCCTCCCCACACCCACCACTCACCCAGCCTGTGCGCAATGAATTCATCGTGGAGCACGGAGGAGTTGGCGTCTATCTGGACCCAGTCAATGGCTGCAGAGAGGAGAAAGTCACAAAGCTGAGAAACGCTTCCGTGGGGAAAAGCCGAGAGGTTCACAAGGGCACAGAAAACGTTACGGAGGCTACAGCAAAGCTGAGAGAGCACCTGGTAATGCATGGTACTGGCTAAACGCAGGCGAGGCAAGGGGAGGGCAGCTTGAAGGGGGAACGGAAGGGAAGCACTGAGGGTAATGGGGAGAGCAGCCCCGGGGGCGGTGGCCGCAGGCAAGGGAAAGGCAGTACCTATGATGGGGACTTCTGCGATGAACACTCTTCGAATGGAATTCGCCACCCTGAGGGAGAGAAACACCCGTGTTGAGGCACGGGGGAGCGCGGAGCTTCGTGACGCACCGGCCGGGACGCAGAAAGGGACGCAGGCCGGGGCTGAGGCCCGGGCTTTGACTCGGAGGCCCCGACCAGGCCCGCGCCCGGGGCTGCGCGGCGAC